TTCCGATAGTCCTCTGAATTTTTATAGCTCTTATGACCTTTGTCATCAAGTTTAGTTCTTATCTACCCTCTACTTTTTAACTTTGATTGTTTCATGAAAATCAGTCTGTTCATCCCAGATAGATAACAATGGCTGCGCAGCAGCAGCTTTAGCTGCTACCATAGTTTAACACAGTGACTTTTTCAAAGAATGTTTTCATGAAACATGATTCACCGAAACTGACCTGAGAGGAAACTCTGAGAAGTTTGGCCATTACATAAAATGGTTCACTATCACACACCTGGACTACCATCCACCTGTTTTTAAAGTCATCTGAACACAGCTCCTAACGGTATTGTCCTAAGTAAAGCTGGAGTTTGGTGAAGAGGATGAGAATTGCCCAGTCACATTTGGTAGAGCCAGTAAGATGAAAACAATCAGTGGGCCCAGCCAATGATGAACTCACATGACCTAGGTTAAAAATTATAAATCCAGCAAAATGCAACTGCTGGGGCCTTTTGAGCCACTCTTTTTCTATCTGCTCAGACCTGCTCCTACCTCTTACGAGTGTACTTAATAAAATACCTTTTCTCTACACTATAAAAAAAAAAAAAAAAGGATGAGAATTAAGAATGAAGTGACTGTTGTAAGTAATCGTTCTATTGACTAAACATCAGTAAATATAAACTATCTACATATCTTAGTGATATTAATCATACTTTACACCTCAACAACCAAATTCCAAAAGAATATTAAAATAGTTAAACTGCTTTAGTCCATTCTGTTATTCTAAGGGAAATTACAAACAAGCAATTTAATTCAGGCAGTAAATACCAAAAATTATGTATTTAGGGCCAGTCATTAGAACAGCCATTAAATGCTATGCAGAAGAAGCTAGATCCCACATGGCTGACTGAGGTTCAAATTCCAGCCCTAGCACCTGGGAAAACACCCAAGGCAGAATCCAGAATTTAGGCAGGATAGAGAAATGGAGGAACAGGTATTGCAGTATGACCAGACCCCACTGGGAGATGCATATTCTCTTTCTCTCTCATGCATTCTTTGGCTTTCAAAAAATTACATTTTTAAAGACAGGAAAGTTATAATTTGATAGGATTTGGAGATTCACTATTGTTTAACATGATACATAAAGAAACATTTTTTCAAAGCCATCCTGGATAGACTAGGAGTAATTTTCAACTAAGGCCAAGTTATTTATGGTCATTAAGATTTTAGATATATTTTTATGGCAAAATTTGTTACAGGGTACTTTGATATAGTACAAGGTGCCTTAGCTTAAAATGAGAAATACTAATTGAATTCAGCCTGTTATTTACATCTTCATAGTAGTATACATCTATTTGCTGAACT